ATTACAGAAGTCCCACTGTCTAATCCTACCTGGAGGTCACAATAATGACTCTAGAGACAAACGTGTTTCTAGCCTAATGCACTTGGACTCTTTATCTTTGTTGGCTTTAAGCCAGAACAAGACGTTATTGCAAATACTGTATTTTATTTTTGTTGTCAAGTGGCTTAGCTGGTGAAGGCTATTGTAATCTGACTGAGAACTTTCCCCGCAGCGGGATGGTGAAACAGACTGGATTCTTGTATTTTTTTTGTTGCTCTCCTGCTCAAAGAGCATTATAGGTAAGCAGCGTAGGTGGATGGCAATGCTTCAAGGTATGAGCACACCTGGCCTAAACAAAGTGGCCGGAGTTAATCGTGGGTTTACCGGCATCCCTGATTTTTCTCAGGCAGGGCCCTTCGAAGCTCTTTGTAGAGAGAAAGAACGTGGTGAATGCTGATTGATAAAGGCAGAAGCACGGAACAGCTGCAAAACCTTGGAATGGGGGGGGGATTACTTCCAGACAAACAGGAAACCCCAAATCCAAAAAGGAATTAGAGGTGTACTTTGAGGAAAAATATACACGTGTATGCATGGATGTGTATAACTGTGTGTGTACGCATGCATTTCTTTGTGGAAAAAATTCCATGAATAAATTCAAATGGCAAATGATGTGTTGAAGGATTTTTGGAATGGACAAATGATTATTAAACCTAACTGGTACTAATAGCTGCTAACATTGATAAGAACATGGTAAACAATGCACCATTACAATATGGTAAAAGGGCCAGACTGTTTACCATAAAAGAAATACAAATGGCCAATCAAAGGAAAGGAAAGCAAAAATACTAGACCATTGCCCACTCATCCTAATGGCAAATGCTGACAGATTGCTACCACCCAAGGGAAGATAAAAGGAGGGGAAGGCATGCCTAATACTACATTCTAGTATTTGCAACAGTAAGTACTTTTGAGTCTCACTAATAGGATGGAATCAGTTCGTCAGTTGAGAGCGGGGAGATTTTAAGTCCAGGATTTGTCTCCCTCTCCTGAGGACAATAATAATGGCAAATGACAACAAAATCACATCCATAATAACAGTGGATATTCCCTAACAATGTCTAACTCTGTGCCAGACATTTTGCTAAATACCTTACATGGATTATCTTTTTAATCTTCCCAAGCATCCTACGACATACTGTCTTCCCTAATAAACAAAAAGTCATTCTGATCATAATAAGCTTTCATGATTTCTTGCTATCGCCCCAAATATTTCTTTGTAACATCAGAGCTTTTCATTGTATGATTAGTGGGAAATTTTGCTCAGAAAGAAAATGCCTTGATTGAGGCAATGTGTTGATGTTAATTCCCAGTAAAATGGGAGGAGTCCAACAGATGGGGTATACGGCTGTTGGTTTCTTGGTCATTTTGCTGGGTGTGTCTGAGCCCATAGGATAGGATAGGATGGGGCAAGTCAAGTTCAGGAGAGGAGGAAGGTCAGCATGGGGCGAGGTGTGGGGTTGCATTTGGGCAGTGGAGGCATTCTTTGTGTCTGCTGGATTCTTTGTGTTTCTGTTGTTGAAACTTGGCCATTCTCCCTATGGGCAAAGGGAACAAGAAGAAGCTAATCAGAGTGTGAAATGCACGGGGTTTGTCAGGACTCTAATCCTCTGTTTTTTTTTTTTTTTTTATCAACCCTCTGACATTTACTAAATAAAAAGTTCTCTTTCCAGAGATAAGTCTAAATCCCTTGTAATCTGCTTTCTACCTGTTCACCCCATTTCCCCTCCTATTCTCTGCAGCAAACCATCCCTCTGACCTGCTGCTTCTGGGCGTGGGAGGCTCAGGGCCACCCAGACCAATTTTTATCTCTCCTTCCGAGGTCATACATCTGGAAATTCCTTCAAAACCGAGTGTCCCTCTCACTTCTTCGTTTAACTGAGGTTTTACCTGTTCTGTTAGTTTCCGCTGAGTTCAGTCGCTGGCTTCGTGACCCTGGATGTTTTACTTGGTTTCCCTGACTACAGGTTTTTTAACTGGGCAGTGGTTCCATGAGGCGCGTGCCATTACGTGGGACAATTACGTGGGGTGAATGTGTAAAACACCAAGGCAAGTGTCTGTCACACAGATGTGGTCAATATAATAATGATACTACTACTACTACTAATAATAATAATAGTCAAAGGTGTACCAGCACATTAGCAATATTTTATTAACCAACAATTTGGGGACAGGCCACTGTCGCCACGCCTGCCTTTGAAGCCCCGGTCCTGCCCAGCCTGGGACGGACGCCGTGTCTCTGAGCACCGGGAGCTGCCCTAGTGGCCGCTGCGACACAGACAGGCAGAGAGGAAATGCGAAGTCCCATCTCCAGGACCACCTCCACTTGGGGAGCCGGGATGGAGACAAAAGAAAACGCGTCGCACAGCAGGAGAAGGTGCGACACATCCCCAAGAGCGGTGGAGCAAGTGTCCCCTTGTCTCATGTAGGGGTGAGGGCCTGTCCGGCTACCCAGGAAAAAGAAACATCTGGAAGGGAAGGATGTGGGATCTTTCCCGATGTCCAGGTTTCTGGCCCACGGAGCGGGACTCGCTGACCTGGCCCGAGGAGGCTGCCAGTCTTCGAACCAGGACCGTGGTGAACGAGATGGTCAGGAACCGGCCTTGACCCGGTGCCCAGGGTCTGAGTCCATCTGTGCCAGCTCTGAGTCTCCTGAGAAGGCGCCTCCCTGCGTTCTGTCACTGGGTGACGCACATGGCACACTCACGCTGCGGCCAGGAGGTGCTCGGACAGATGGGGTCCTCACAAGTCCCGGCAGGAGCCACCTGTGCCCCAGGTCCACGGGGCGTGCCCTTCCTGGGGGACACCAAGAGTGGCCGTCACGTGGGAGGGAGGGCTTCCAAAAGCTGCCCCGTCCCTGCCCCCAGCTTCTGCGTTCCACACCTCGCAATGTCTGGCCCCGCTTTGGGCAGTTGTCACCCTGTTCAGAAACACGCCTCAGTCTGTGTGACCCCCCACCCCCACCCCCAGCCCGCCCCATGAACTTTTAGTCTGTTACCAGGGCGATGACTCCTTTTATAAAAGGGCACACGTTCTTCTTTCTCTCTTGCACCTTTTTTGACGCCTCGTTTCCCAGTGATTAAACCACGCCCATTATTTGTCCAGGGTTAGCCTCTGCCCAGCCTAATTATGTCCCTGGTGCAAACCCCTGCCAAAAGTCGTACTGAACTTCACCCAGGCTGCTCGTATATGCTCCCAGCTTCAGCCCTTGCTGGTCCGGAAGGTGAGGGAGCTCCGTGGGTGGGAAGGGGGGCCGCCACTCGATTGGCTGCAATCCTAGGGGTGTGTAGGACTCACCGGGAGGTCGGGCTGAGAAGGAGAGTTAGGGCTGTGTGTAGAGAGGCTTCATAGATAAAGCGTTAACATGGGATGGAGATCTCTTCAGCCAAAGATCTTTACATATAAGAGGAAGGTTTCTAATCTTACACGGTTAAGACTTAAACTTAGTGGTTTTCGGGATCCTGTAACTAAGATGTATCATCATTGGTAATGGGACATACTAAGATGTATTATTGGGAGTGGATGGGCAAAATGTGGTACATCCACACAATAGAATTTGACATTAAAAAAAGAATGAAGTACTAATATATACTACAGTATAGACGAAGTAAAACTGCTATAGCATTTAGCATAGTAATGTAACATAGTAACATACTAACATTAGTAAACGTTGCTCAGTGAAAGAAGCCAGACACATATTATGTGATTCCACTTATATGAACTGTCTAGAACAGACGAATATATAAAGCCAGAAAGTGAATTAGTATTAAAGGTTGCCAGGGTGGGGCAGCCAGGGGGCAGGAGAGAATGAGAGGGACTGTGAATGGGTACAGGCTTCCTTTTGGGCTGATGAAAATGTTCTAGAATTAGTTATTGGTGATGGTCACATAGCCTTCCAAATATGCTCAAAACCATTGAACTGTATAGTTTAAATGCATTTTACGGTATGCGAATTATATTTCAATAAACTTGTCATAAAAATATTTTTGAAAAGATTTATTATTATTTCAATTTTCTTTTCTCAGAACTGCAAACACATGTAATACTACTGTATCTATACTGTTATTCTTCAAATCAAAAGTTTTTTAGAAGTTCACACCTAGGAAATGGATGGATGACTTTGTCTCATCTCCAACTTTGTCCTTCAGAGAAGCGAGGTCACGGCATCTTATGTACTGGTTTGATGGTTTCCACCAGTTTTACCCACTACTCCAGCCCAGCGCAATCTGACTTAAAATATCACAGCCAAAGTGAACACTGTGACCAAAATTTTAGTTATGTGCAATAGTGGTTTTCAGGCAGAAATTCTAACAATCAGGATAATGAATCATAGTCCCAATATTTGTTATATATCGTGTGCATGTGTCATGTCATTTAGCTGGTGCAATGACCTGATGCCTGAGATATTGCTTTTATGCTTGTTTACAGATGGGTAAACTAAGGCTTAGGGACATTAAATTCCCTGTCTATGGTTGTGCATTTAGTGCAAGGGAAAAAAAAGGCTTTTCTCAGGAACTCTTTCTGTTAAGCCCCAAGTCTTATTATTATAAATTGATGGAGACCAAAAGTGTCCACAAGCCTAACTTGAACACTTAACTAAAGCTGCTCAGTGTGGAAGAAATGTCTAGTGTTCACTTTCCTGCTGGGCTGCATTTCATTGCTCAGCACATCATGGAAGCTGGCTCAGATACCGTTCCCTTTCAGATAGCTTGGAATCTTTATTATTTTATGTGTCTTTGCTTATATCATGAAGCGACGACAAAGTAGGACTTATATTGGAAACACACTTTCTGTCTAGGGAAGAGAGGAACATCAGGTTTGCAAGATTGGTCTTTTGCTAAAATATAAATATTTAAAAATTATACACATAAATGATAATTTAAAAAAATTGTAAGTGTGTATATGTGTAGTTTTTTATTAGGAGATTATTTAATGGGTCATTATATATTTTTTTCTTTTTGCAGAACAATGGTTCCCTGGTTTGGTGCCAGAATCACAAGCAATGTTCTAAGGTAAGTTTCCTTCAACTGTGTTATTATTAGGTAAAGAACTTTTAATTTTGGAATTATTATACATTCACCGGAAGTTGCAAAGATAGCACAGAGAAATCATTTGTATCCAATTTCCAACAATGGCTACACTTGAAATAACTGTAGAACAATGTAAAAAGCACAAAATTGACATTGATAGAATGTATATATATGTAATTTTATGACATTTTATTACATGTATAGATTCAATTTGTGTATCTATCACTGCCATCAAGATACATGTATCAATAGTTCTACATACTGCTTTATTTTTCTCTTTGTTTGGTAATTTTCTGATAAAAAAGTTAAAGAGAAAATGACTTTCAGTGAGACCAGATGATTTAATGCATTCTATCTACACCTAAATTATTTTGTATATATTTTGGTTTGTTTGTAGGAATTGCAGGTAAAATAATTTGATTATATATTAAACAGTCTCTTTTCCATTTTTTAGTATTCCTTTCTGCACACTAGTATGCTATATTTTCTCATTATATTCATTCCTGTGTTTACTAGAATAACTTTCTTACATTAGTCTTAAAACATCAATCTTTTTTTGATATGTATATATATATATATGATGATACTTTAGCTCCAGTTCAAAGTAGGTTTTATAATCAGATTATGTAAATAAGTAAAGTTTACAAAGTTTGCCAAAAATATTGGAGCAACTTTGGGATCACAATAGTATTTGTTAAGATTTATTTCATAGATACCATGTTCATCCTTAAAATTGAAATACTCCTTTGTTTTATAACCAAAATTTAATCTAAGGAACATATAATAATATTGAAAGAGCATTATTATTTTATTATTATTGAGTTCTTCAAACACATAAAATAAATGATTATAGAATAATATTCCTAAACCAAAACTCTGTTATATGATGTATTCCAGCAATCATGCACACATTGCATCCTGTACACATCCTATACACATGAATCTTATTTAAAAATAAAACAGAATTATTACATGAATATGAAATAATTTGGGGAAGATAAGCTTTGCTTACCTCTGATTCTCTAGTTCTTGGGTGGAAATGAAATGTCTGGTTACAATCTGTTTACTCTTTTTATGTAATATTGTAAGCATTTGCTCTGACAAGACATTTTCTAGCATCAATTATATTAATTGCTCTTCAACTAGAATTTTGGGTAACTTGTTTATGTCATATTAAAGAGAAAACACATAGTGCCATGAGGTTGACTAAATTTCATAAGTACTGTCTTTGTCCAATTTTGTATTATTTGGGTGTTCCATGAATGATAGTTTGTTATACCAGTGTCGCTTCTTATTTAAGCACCCATTTTCTCCACATCCCATCAAGAAATTAATTAGTTTTTATAGACTTAAGAGGAATTTGAATGGAAGAGGTTCATTTGAACTATTTTTCAAATTATTGCAATGGAAGAAACTTGAACCACCGGGGATCATGGATGGCTAAACCATATTTTGTGATTGAATGATCAAGGCTGGCATGAGAGACTTTGAATTTCACAAGAAAAGAAATCAATCCCTTTTGCCTGAGAGCAAGAATGAATCAATAAGTCACAGCCAACTCCAACAGAAACTTTGGAATATATTACCATGCTGACATAAGTTTAAAGGTTGTCTTTAACTTGGGCTTTTGAAGAATGACTCTTACATACTAATCAAAGTTTATCTTCAGTGGGTGTCACCACAGCTGAATGCCTGTGCAGTAATTGCAGTTTGCATTTCTATTGGGATTCATGAAGTTCTATGTAGGTTTTCTTATCTTAATTTTATTTTTAAGTCCATGACATCACCCTAAATACTTTTTGGAATTCAATATTACTATAATGCTGTAAAACATACTAATAAAATGTGATATATTTTCATTCCAATGGTACTTTTAAATCAGTCCAGTTTTAACAATGTACATTATTGTAAGGACTTATTTTAATTAATCTTCCCCTTAAATAACAAATTACTCCATGCCAAATATACACATTGGAGTATTCGTACACCTGTAGGGTCTATCTCTACTTTTCTCTTTGGTGACCCTCAATTCTTCCCCAATTCTAACTCTTTCCCCCCATTCTGAGGTCCCTTTGTAGTCACCATCAGTGGGTAATGTGTGAGGGACCTTTCTCTATCAGGCTTTGCTCACTGGCATTTTTAAGGAAAAATGGATGATACAGACCCCCAAGACCGCTATTTGCAGGAAGGACAGAGAGAAGAGTCCTAAAGCTAAAGAGACTTTAGGAACGCTCCAGTATAAGTTTTTCATTGTGCAGTTGAGGAGCTGAGTCCTAAAGCAATCACCTGTTTAGCCAAAGAGCCTCCACCTCTGAAGAAGGGCTGCTTCTTAGATTCCATTTTCCATTGTACATCATTTCTTCAAAGACCAGCTTAGAAATGATTTTAGAGCATCTGCCTGGAGATTTGAATGATGGGCAAAATACCCAGGCATATACCGTGTTTCCCCAAGAATAAGACCTACCCGTAAAATAAGCCCTAGCAGGATGTCTAAGCATTTGCGCAATAGAAGCCCTACCCTGAAAATCAGCCCTAGTGATGGGCGTGGCTGCGCAGCGCATCTGCACAACCCATGCATTTCCTCGAGGAGCGGGAAGGAAGATGAGCAGCCCTTCTCATCTGCCCCGTGAGAGCTCTAGTGCTCGACAGGAGAGATCGGGGCCAGTGGTTCTAAAGGAAATAGAGTCGCAAGAAATTCAGGATGGAATTCGGGGTTTGGAGAGTGAGGATGATGTTTCAGAAGAAGACGCCTTAACTGTATTTGAATAAATGTAGATTGTTGTACTGTACTTAAAAAAAAAACATATCCCCTGAAAATAAGCTCTAGAGTGTCTTCTTGAGGAAAAATAAATATAAGACCCTGTCTTATTTTCAGGGAAACACGATAATCACAGGACAGAAGGCAACATGTGTTAATGAGCTGTGTTAATATCTGTGTTTCTTAGGGACTCTTTGCTCACAGAGGAGGAAAAATGTCCTACTCTCTCTACCCAGCCTGTATTCACGGCTTAAGCTCGTGTAACAGCATATAAATTGACAGGAGAAAAGCATCAACATCTATTTAATAAGTTTTAGGTGACCCAGGAGCCTTCATAAAGAAAAGAAGACTCAAAGAAATGGTTAAATCTGTGTGTTTTTATGCTGAGTGTGAGGACGAGTGGGTACTTGTGGAAAATTGGGTAGGGCAAAGTGGGTATGAGAGCAACGGTGATTATGATAATAAACTGGGGAAACTGAGTCAGGCCTGTGTGCTCAGATTCTTCTCTGTGACCTTCATCTTCAGACATAAGGATGTTCCTTTTCTCCATGTATAGGGAGGGACCTCTCCCATGGGGGTCTCATGACCTGCATCAGGGGAGAAGAGTGTGTGTGTGTGTGTGTGTGTGTGTGTGTGTGTGTGTGTATGTGTGTATTGGGAAGAGGTCAAAGAGACTTTCCTGCATCTGTCACTGATTTTAACATGCCCAGGTGGCATACTTTGGGGTAGCATGTCCGGAGCCCCATCACCCTTTCCAATGTAACTTTCCATCAGACACAGTGTTCCAGGCCAGTCAGCAAATGATTCCTGTAAAAGATCACATAGTAAATGTTTTCGTCTTTGCAGCCCGCAAGGTCTCTGTGGCAGCTACTCAACTCTGCAGCTGTAGACCAAAAGCAGTGACAGATAATACGTAGACCAGGAAGAGTGGCTGCGTTCCAACGGAACTTTGTCTGTGGATGCTGAAATTTGAATTTCACATTATTTTCATGTTATGGAGTTTTACTTATTTTTGCAACCCTTTGAAAATGTAAAAACCTTTCTCACCTCACTGCTTGTGCAAAGACAGGTGACAAGCTAGAGTTGGCCTGTTGCTGTCATTTGTCAATCCCTGTCCTAGCCCATCGCATTCACACTTACAAAGCTGAACCAAAGAAATAAAATTGCATTCTTCTGTCGAGTCAAAGAAATATCTTAAAGTGTTCAAGGTCAAGCAAAAATGGACAGTTTCTGACATGGTTTATAGAGCATTGTTGGTCATCCTGCAGGGATTGGTTGAAAGAGTGAATAGCAAACAATAGTTAAAAAATTGCAAATAAATAACTTACAGTTAATTTTTGAAAATTCAATGTTAAAATGCAATTATCAGAGTCAAGAAAAGTTGTGAAATACTTCAAAATAGGCAAAAGAAAAGATTATTTTCCTCTTTGTTGCACTTTTAAAGGTTCTGTCCACTGTTCGTTGCCTGTGAAGTATTTGTCTACTCTGTGAATGGTAGAAAATTGATAATAATTCAGACAATTCTCACCCCTGGAACCGCACATGAATCGTGTCTAGTGGAATGCATCGGACACTTCCCCCGTGACTACACCGTTTTGCGACTGTTTGTAAATCCAGGAATGCCTCAGCATTCATCCATCACCCTCCCTGTCAATCTATCCAGATCTGTTCCTTATTGATCTAGCGGTCTATCTAGGCCTCTCAATCTATTACCTATCTGTCATCTCTCTCTCTCTGTTGGAGATTTCCTTTGAACCAGACAGGACATATCACTATTTCATGAGCTAAATAAAGTCTTTGACACATTTCCATCTTCCATTTGCATTAGAGTCATGTCTTCACTTTATAAAAGATTTCTCCTTTGACATCAGGCTCAGCGTCACCTTTCCAAACCTTGCGTCTCACGATGGCATTCCCGGTGACACCCACCTTCCTGTGGGAGCATGCCTGCTCCCTCTTCTTCCTTTGGGTGCTGTAACTCACTCACTTGACTTTTGTTTCCCATTTGGTTTTGAGCCTGTGTGTTGAAAAGTAGTAATTTAGGGCAGACTCTTGGTGCCTTGGGCATGCTGCTTTGATCTCAGTGGGAGTTCAGCTGTTACAAGTGCTACAACTCCAGATCGGAGGGATTTTCAGGTATATTCAGGACCAAGTTTAGAGGTAAGGAAGATTGGTTTTGCTTGTATGGAAGATCTGGATGACTTCATTTGACATCTGGGAAATT